TCCTATTTGAATTAGACTTTTGACCTTCAAATAGGAGGAACAGCACTAGGTCAGAGCACTTTTAAGTAGTAGTCAGACTAGGCCTTCCTTGGAGACTTCTGTACCACTTGGAGGTAGAAGGTGCCTGGGTGGAACAGAGATTGTGACTAGATTGCCTAACTGCTCAGTAGGTTGCACAGGGGACCTGTTCTCACACCAAACGACTTTTATAAAGTGCTTCTGATTAAGGTAAACCTGTTGCAAGCCTGAAAAGTCGAGGCTGGTCCTGAAGCCACTTGCTTCCCTAGTATTTGTTTTTGAACATGATTGACAGCTTCATTGGCCAATGGGAAACTTAAGAGGTGACAGACAACGGCTAGCTCTATAGAGGAACAGTTGAGATTTGCAGATGGCTTCCGCTGTCTATCTCTGGATCTGCAGAAAGTTTTCACTAAAGTTAATCGCTGCTTATGCAATTTTTCATCCCATCTAGAGGCAGAGCCAGCTATGCCAGCCCCCGTCCGTATCTCTAGTCAGCGCTGGAGGATCGGAGAGGGGAAGGGGGAATCCCTGTGGGTGACTGACAGTCACCACTCTCTGCAGGGAGATGATCAGGAAGTAAGCGAAAACACAACACCGCTCGCTCACTTCCTGACCAATAGAGCCGACTTGTAACATATGTCGGCTCGACCTATAGGGATGAGTGTAATTCAATCACCCCATAGTTCTCTAAGGGACAACTTTACCAAAGGTATGACAGTTACATTTTCCCAAAGTAATCCTCAGCCTTCTAAACCTTTAGATCAGGGGTAGCAAACCTCCGGCCCTTCAGCTGTGGTGAAAATACAAATCCCATGATTCATCTCTCTTCAGGAGTCATGTCTGAGAATCGTGCAATGCCTCATGGGATTTGTAGTTCCACCACAGCTGGGGGGCCGGAGGTCTGCTACCCCTGCTTTAGATGTTACTAAATGGGCTTTCCAAATATGAACCCTTTTTGAAAAGAGAAAACCTCTTAGGTCAAAGCTTGAAAGCAAACAAGCCGCTTGATCAAAGGTTTCCCTGATACATTGTTGGTTGTTATTTGTAACCGTGTCCAGGAGAGCATGAAAGCAGTGTAAAATGATTCTGCCAGTCTGGAAGCTGGAGAATTAAATGCTGACTGAATGCCAAGGCAGCGCAAGAGCCAAGAACTCTTCTAATGAGAAACATACCTAGTGTCATGTCTTATCTCTTATATTTACCAGAACACTGAAATGAAGACACTCGCTCCTCACCGCACTTCAATATTCAGAGTATCACAATAACATGAAGTGATTTCACAGCAGTGGCGACTGTTATCTCAAAGTTTGTAGCGGCATGAGAGTGTTACCACTTTAAAAATTCCTATACCATCTAAGCAGCTGTTTGGCATATCTTAACGTTATGAATGATTCATTGTTCTCCCCCCTACCCTTCCTTGATTTCAGAATACATATTTTTTTACTACGCACAATAATAGGACAGAGTAGCTCAGATTAGCTTCATTTTTCAGTCACTTTAAGGCAGGCATGTCCACACTGCGTCCCTCCAGCGGTGGAACTACAAATCCCATGAGGCTTTGCAAGATTCTCACAGACATGACTGCCGGAGAGAGATGCTTCATGGGATTTGTAGTTTCGCCACAGCTCTGGAGCCAACTCTGGAGGGCCAGAGTTTGGACACCCCTCCTTTAAGGGAATGAAATGTCTCTAGCACCCAACATTTGTGTCTTATGGGGAACACAACCTTGAACTAGCCACAAGAGGGCTTGTGCAAGAATATTTGAAAAGCAAATGTCTTTTTACCTTCTTCATAGCACATAATTGGGTATTCATAGTGAACAGGAATTTGTTTTTTACATGGTTGGATGATTAATAAAAACAGAAATTATTCCGGTTTCTTTATAAGGCCAATCATAAGGGGTACTTTTTAAAGAGGCAAATGTAAACCTATCATAAGTACTTAATATTCAGTAATCGTCAGACAAGTCCACAATAACTGCTTCTCTTTCATTCCTCAAGGCCTGCTACATGCATAAGTGGTAGCACTGACTCGACCTTATGTTGTGCTGACACACAACAGTATGTGTACCCTATATTTGTGCTGGAAGCACACTCGATTGCGCACCCCCAGCAAGGAGCCTGTGCTGTCAGCGACAGAACATGGTCTCAGAGTAACATGTGGTAGGACAGGCTCCCTGTCACGTGACCACTGTGATAGTCAACCACATTAATCAAATGTTTGAGATACCTCCCTTGTATCTTTCTCCTCTGTGGGAAGAAAAACATAACTTGCATCTCTGCACAGGCTGTGCCGTCGCTCAAATGCAGCGGCTGTCACCTGGACATTAGCTTGATTGGGTGTCAGTTGCCGTTTGTAAACAGCAGATTCGGGATTTCTGCTGCAGGAAAACACAAGCTCCTGATGCAGGAATCCCTAATCACAGCTAAAATATAGGTGTGAATGGGGCCTAAAGCAACTGTCCCGAAAATAAATATGTAAACAAAGTGTCCCATCCTAAAAGACAGTAAACATGTCTCCCACTGCATGTATCACTGACTGTTGCTGTAATAAGGAAGGAGTGAAACTGCAGCTTGAGAAATCTCCCGGGAGTGTCACATTCCTGGTCCCTGTTGCAATCAGCATGTCCTCTAGTGACATTGGGTCTGGCATGAACACCATAGAGCGCAGCAGGGGACCAAGGATGTAACACTCTGAAAAGTTTTGGATTCTTGTCGGTGTGATTTTTATTATTTTAACTCCATAAATAGTTACATAGTCAGGTTGAAAAAAGACACAAGTCCATCGAGTTCAACCTATAGAGAAAATAACTTTATACTAGGGCTGTGAAAATTAACGATTCATTTCACGATTAATCGTTAATCTTTTTGATCGATTAACATTTTTTTGATCGCCAATGAAAATACTCACCTCTCCGCTGGGTTCCGGGAGTCCCGTCGGAGATCCGGTGATGTCACGGACATTGACGTCACCGGACTCCTCCCCCCTTCCCCAAGTGGCTCCGTAATCTAAGTGATTTTATCCCCTCATATACTGAGGGGTCTTTTTATAGAACTATAAGCAAATCAAGGTTGTACAATGACATGACCAATGGCTGTCCCAGAAATGGACGCACACACACAACGTGTAAAACGCCAGTGTCTGCTTCTCCCATGCACTGAGAAATGCCTGGTTTTCCTTAAAATGGGACTGGTTTTACAATGGGGAATAATGTAGAAATTTTCAGTCCATGTAGATTAACAATCCTGTGGATCGCTCGTGTTTAAATGCACTGCAAATACTCAAAAAATTCCAATCAAATGAAAAGGACTCCATAACCTTGTTTTTCTTGCTAGGCCGTAAGATTTATTATAAAGATATGCGCAGATGAACAGACAGGAGAGAAGAAACCTTGACACGTTTGGCACATAGTGCTTAAATTGTAAGGATCAAGATGTGTTACAGTCTCTTCTCTGATGTCTGTTTGGCTGTGCATACATCTTTACATCAATCTTACGGTCAAGCAAGACAAAGAAGAGAATGAAGCAGTTCCATTTTAGTGAATATACCAGGACCGGGCAACGTCTAAAAGCAGTGATAAAAAGTAAACTATGGCCAACCTTTTTTTGGCCATGGCTCTCCTTCAGGTCACATTTACTATGTCTTCCTGTGACCCAAAACTCAGCATATAGCGAGCTGTTGCCCACTATACGCTGACATCGGCAAGTAACCTCTATCCAGTCAGTGCTGGAGGACCACAGAGGGGAGGGGGTAATCCCTGCGGAGGGCAGTGACCGACAGTCAACCCCTCTGCAGGAAGGTCAGGAACGGAGCGACCGGCGGGATGTGAAAGCTCAGTTCTCGATCAATAGAGCCGACATGCGATTGCTGCAGTTTCACAGGTTGGCCCTAATTATGGGGATAAGTGTATTTCACTCTCCCCATAATTCTCCTTTAAAGCGTGGGTATTTAAAACTTACGGTCACAGTATGCACCCTAATCCTAGGATGAAGGAGGACAATATGTCATCTTATGCCTGCAGGAAATGTCTTCACATGCCTGGGGACATGTGCAGGTTGCAAAACAAGTGACAAGATATTTTTTTTTTCTTTTGGCTAGGCACACATGCGATCACCACCCAGTGTTTAATATATAGAAATCATCATACATGTAGTGCCGATTGATTGCATCATTTAGAAACATTGTGCTCCCATTAGCAAGTAATTCCCAATTACACGGTACACGCTATTGTTCCCTATCTGCAGCGAGCGCCAGTGATTGAGTGGTGATCATGGGTAATAAATCACTCTAGGAAAAAAGAAAAAACATCCCTGTGCATCCAGTCTTATTGCATACCAGTCTCTGAGTGAACCCCTGTATTCTACTTTACTCTTTTAAAAGCAAATGTTTTGCATAAGTAGAACTCCTATTACATTTATTAGCCAGCTTCTCATGGATTTAGTCCCTCTTCGGGGATGCAATATTTCATGACATCATTGCTAAGCCCCGCCATTCCACCATCCAATGAGAGTGCTTTAGTTGCCAGTATCCCCTCAGTGGACGGGGGGGTGGCAATTTTGCAACAAAGCCTGGCCGAAAATTAGAGGGACACAGCTTTTACTGGCAGCAATATTGCACTGTCTGATCTTAGGGCATTTACTCTTCTTACAAGCTTAAAATTGTGTACAGCTTCTGCTTAAAAGTGGTGTGAGCCTCCCTGTGACAACAATCCTCAAGGTATAATTAAAGCACCATTACTGTGATTAATGTGTGGTAGTCTTCCCTTACCCGTATAGCAGAGGCAACCAATTGCAAAACAGCAAAAGGTTCAGTAAACGGCACCATGGAAAAAGATGTCAAAAGAGAACCGGTATAAAAAAAACTGTATTTTAGTGAAGAAACGGGGTCATACTTTTATCAAACTGAATCCCATCTGGGAAACAGCCACTGTAGATTGGAAGTGTGCAACATCCGAGCAGGTGACCTAATGAAACACTTACCTGAGATAAGTAAACTCAGTATGTTCTCTGTCTCTTATTGGATTCATCTTTTTTCTTATTGGATTCATCTCTTGGAGACTCAGCTTGCATTACTTTCAACTTCACACCGTTAACCATCTTGCCATGCAGTGTGGCAATCGCATCATTTGCGCTGGATACCTCTGCGTATTTGACATAACCGATGTTCCTCCCCGGCACGATGTAAACGTCAATGAGATTGCCGAATCGACTGCAGTGAGGTACATGAGAATAATAACCATTTAATATAACTGATTTTTTGTTTCTTGTATAACACTTTTTGTTGTGAGTTACTCTGCTTTTCTTACTTTAATAAAAACAGGTTTGCTTTACTTGAAGGAGGTGGATTGGGTGGGGAAAAAGGGATCTGTCTTTCTATGGAGCAGAAGCACAACAGGTAAAGGGACCCCCGTCACTACCCGCTTTGCTGCAAACTATATACAGTGGGGAATCTGTATTAGTATTAACAGAGACACTGCCTGCTACAGTGCAGCTGGTTGGAGACATGATTGTGTGTGGCTGGCAGTTAAACATTTGGTGACAGGGTCTCTTTAAAGGTTTTAATCAGGCTTTCAATTAAAATGCCTGCTCATGAAGATAAGACAGAGGGCATACAGGAGCAAAAAGAGTGGCAAGGGGCAAGTTTCACCAATGTGGCGTCAGTCAGTAGAAGGTGGTTTTGGAACTAGTGTGTGAGACTGGCAGTAGTGAAAAATGTCACCCAGTTAATGCCATGACACCATAAAGGACAGCAGGGGTATGGTAATTATTTATCAAGTCATTTAGAAGGTATAATAGCTCCTATTATGTACACTGCATGTGATCTTACTGTATATTTAGTGGTTCTAAGGCCAGATTCTGGCCTTGGAGGGGCAGGTAGGAAAACCTTATGGATATGGTTGTCACAGAGAAATCCTCACCAGAAAATATCTTCTGCAATGTCCTGTGGAAGCGGATGAGGATTGAAGACGATAAATAGTCTTTCCTTGGAGTGTGTATCAATGGGAGATTTCTTTTTGTATGCTGGAAGGGTAGCGTCTGTCTGAATCTGAGAGGCGATGGGGGAGGCATATGGTCGATCATAGCCCTGCAGAAAAAAAACAGATTCACTTTAAAAACCCAGATGAATACTTCTGAAACTATACAGGCAGCTACAAAACCTATCCGCCCCCCCCAAAGAACATTTTAAGATTTTAACTCTTCACTTCATTAGGAAGACACTGTAGCTTACAATTTTGACATAGTTAAAGTGAGTGCAAATGCAAACTAATTAAGCACACTAGGCACCAAACATTTAGTGCTATTTTTTGCTATAAAAAAAGAAAATACCTTTTTGGGGGTCTATTAGTAGCAGTTATTACTGCTCAGTCCCCCTCTTATTCCACAGCTGGGAAGGCTGAGGGTGGAGACTGCAGAGTGCTTAGCGGCACAGGTCCCAGAAGATCCACTGAAACTAGGGCTGTTACTGATTAAAATTTTCGTGTTCGATTAACCCCTTCATGACTGAGGCCCTTTTTTCATTTTTTGCACCCATGTTATATTCCACATTTTAGGCCTGAAAATGACGTAAACCCCCCCAACATTATATATTTTCTGAATGCCAAGACCCTATAGAATAAAATGGTGGTAGTTGAAAATGTTTATGTTGCGCAATATTAGCGCAACTCCTTATTAAACCCCAAAATACTTTTTGTGCAAACCTCTCAGATGTAAGGAAAACGGTAGTCAGGCAGTCCCAAAACTCGATAAGTTTGAACTTCCGGATCTCCGACAAGACTCCCATAAGACCCGGAAGCCGGCGGAGAGGTGAGTTTTAATTTTTGATCAAAAGAATTTTAAAATCGATAAAAAATTTCAACGATTGATCGAGAAATTTATCGTTAATTTCCGCAGCCCTAACTGAAACCCCAGACATGTCCTCAGGCAATAGACTGCGACACAGGGATGACTGACATACCTTGTACTGCCTGCCTTCAGCAGTCTCGTAAACATCATAAAACAACTTTGGAGTACTAGGTGGCAGGGGATGGCAGCTTTAAAATGACTGGTCTACAGTTCACGTCAGCACAACGCCCTCACTCTCCTAGACAGTCAGGGTTAACATACACTTTCATTTATGAAATTGTATGCATTAAAAATGCACAACACCTTACTCTGCCCCCTTCAATATCTAAATAACTGCACTTTCCTTTACACAGACACTTCACCCCAAATGGGCAAAGTGACAGTAGCCCTAACTTTTTACAAGCAAGCCTGTCACCATGTTACCTGCTGAGGACCTTTAAAATTCCAATCATTCTGGTAAAACGTGACATTCCCCTACCTCTCCATAATGCGGTGCTCGGTGCACGAGTGGCCAAATTCCAGGCACAAATGATATCACATGGGTGGCATTGCTTAGCAGTGGTATATTGCATGATCAATCCTTACAGTGCATCTGTTTTATTTTAAGTACGGACTGTGATCCAGCTCTTTCTGCAGGTCAGCGCCTAAATCCCTGCGGACAGCAGCTCTGATCAGAATTTTGGCAAAGTGACAGCTGGTTTGGACAGATGCACATAAACGGGAATTCCCAGTTGAGTAGAAGTTTGGGAAATAGAGGGAAGGGAATGTATCAAAATCTGGAACAGCTGTTCATGCCAGCCAATCAGCTTCTCTCTTATTTTCAAATCTTACCTGAACAAATTGGAGAGAAGCTGATTGGTTGCCATGGGTAACTGCTCCAGTTTTGATAAATTCCCCACTATATATGCTTAGAGAAAAAAAACAAAAAACTTTCCCAAACCTGGGCCAAGCAAATACAAAACAGATATAAAAAAATAAAAATAATGAAAGGTTCATAAAAGCTGCACAAATCCCAGGAGCCAGGTAGATAATTATTATTATTGGTCTGAGCTCTACTCCAAGTCAAATTTGACCCTGCCACCCCCAATCTTTCTATTGGTCAACAAAGTCATCAATTGAATTGGGGTCCAATAAAAGATACTCAGTTACAGAGCCAAGCTGGATAGGTTTCTGAAGGGTTAATTTTAATGAAAGTGGCATTTTATGGGGCAGCAAGACAACAGCGTAATGTGGGAACATTTCAGGTCCTTTGTGCAACCTCATGAAAGCCATAACATTCAGCTACAGCCACCTATTCATCTGAGCCACCTTCTGGCTGCAAGTTGTACCGACACAAGGATTCAACAATGAACGCATAGACTGACCGCTACCGAATGGTGGCCTTTCAGCTATGAAATAACTACTCTAGACAGGCAGAGCCAGCTGGGTGGATCTCTACAGCATTGTCGAGATCCATTCAGGCTGCGGCAGTCTCACTGTAGCGCAAACTGTAACTCGCGATATACTGAGCTTTGAGAAACGGGAGGACTCTAGTATATGTCCTCCTGCGACCCTCAAGAGAACTATGGGGAAAAACACTTACCCCCATAGTTCTTTTAACCCTTGCATTACTGCAATGCATAGATGTGAATTAGCTCCATGGTCTGCTAGGGGACAGTTATAGTTCTGACCCATCCGGTTTTCATGGTCCTATGTACACAATAAGAAACCTATTTAATTAAAAAAAAAAAAAAAGAAGTATAGAAATTACATTTACCTGCTTTTGGTCTAATGTCCGTTCTTTATGATTTGATATGTTAAAACTTAATTAATGGTAACCCATAGTGAAGGAAATATGGTGACTACCATTGCCAACTCCCTTCTAAAATTAAACTTGACAGGCTGTGTCTTGTTCCACTGCTTTCTGAATCAAGTCAGAATCAGCTGCTGTGGAGGCACCGGCGCATGCTCGTTCTCGGCCGTGCCCGCAGTAGCAGTGCGCGTCTATAGACACACACACAGCCATACGGCATGGCCACACCCCTTCTCTCTGGCCAACAGTTTGATTGATGGCGGAAGGAGCCTACAGCTCCTGCCAGCAGTATCCTCCCCCCACAACCAGGAAGTTCGGGGAATGGAGGACCCCTTTCGGGACTGGCGACAAGCGGAAAAGGTACTGGTTAGTTTTTACCCTAATGCACTGAATGCATTAAAAAGGAGAACTATGAGGCGAGTGAAATCACTCATTCTCATAGTTCAAGCCGACGCATGACAAAAAATATGTCACACGTCGGCGCAATAGATCAGAAAGTGAGCAAACACATACCGTCACTCGATCATCCCCTTGCAGAGAGCGGTGACGGTCAGTCACTGCTCCTTACAGGGATTCCCCCCTCCCCGCTCCGATGCAATGGTAACGGGTGTAAATTATTATTATACAGGATTTATATAGTGCCAACAGTTTGCTCAGCGCTTTACAATATAAGGAAGACATTACAATCACGATACAATTCAAGACAAGATGGTAAGGAGGGCCCTGACGGTGAGGGCTTACAATTTAAAAGGGAGGGGGGAAGTGATACATGAGGAGGTAGCTGTGTGGGGATGAATTGTTTGAGAACATAATGGTTCAGTGGTTAGGTTGAGGTGGGATAGGCTACCCTGAAGAGATGAGTCATAAGGGAACGCCTAAAGGCAGTCCGTGTGGGAGATAGATGGACAAGTTGGGGTAGAGAGTTCCATAGGATGGGAGAGAAGACCTCTTGCTTTCCAGCTCCCTCGTCAACTCCTCCCATGCACGCCTCCAGCACTTCTCTAGTCTCTCCCATCTTGTGGAGCTCGTTACACCAACCTGTCTGTCTATCTCCCACACTGTCTGCCTTTAGGTGTTCCCTTAAGTCTCATCTCTTCAGGGGCCCCTCCCCTTTTGGATTGTAAGCCCTCAGGGGCAGGGCCCTCCTTACCATCTTGTCTTGAATTGTATCATGTTTATAATGTCCTCCTTATATTAGTGCATGGGAGGAGTTGACGAGGGAGCTGGAAAGCAAGAGGTCTTGGGAAGAGCAGAGTGACGGTTAGAGTGATACTTTGAGACAAGGTTTGGGATATATCTGGGGGGCAGAGTTGTGGCAAAGGCATTAAATAAATTTGTGAATATAAATGAAGCAATTAAACTTGTTTTGCCCCGGACAAAATGAGAAAATTGTGTTTCACCAGAAAGGATCTGAAACGCAGATTAATTTCCTCATCTCAGTCTCCCTGTGTAGGATGTTTACGTTCAACCTTGAATGCCTTTTACAGTCAGTAAAAAATAAGAGCAAATGCCATCAAGATGTGGAATTAAATAGAACAGCAACATCAACCTTGAGGTGGACCCAACATAGAATAGTCTTCATGATGAGTCATGAATTGCTGTTGCCACGACAACCTTACAATGAGATAGAGAAGTCGAAGAATGACGAAATAAATGAAATGCCTAAACCGGCAGGACATGAAATATGTACCCCTGGTGCTGCGGGAAATAAAGATCTATGTCAAAGTTGTTAAAAAACACTAAAAACAGTCTTTTCTAAACATTGATGGAAGCAATCAAAAATATAACGGCTTACTAGGAATATAAAAAAGGAAGAGAAACAGAATATGAATACAGAAAAGTAAACTTGCTACTTGCATGACAAAAACTGTATGTCCACTTTTGCAGCCAATTTGGGATGACTCCTATTTTTTATTTGTTACATGTTCCTATTCACATATTATAAGCAAACAAAAAGTGCTTCTTGCAGTTTAAGTTCCTTTTACTTGGGTTAAGGTTTCCTGGCTTCTGAAGGGTTAAAACTTATACTTGCTGCTTCATTGCAACATTAGGAGGAGCTGTGAAAAGTTAAAGCAGGGCTAGCCAAACTCTGGCCCTCCAGCTGTGGTGAAACGACAAATCCCATGATGCATCTCTCCAGGAGTTATGTCTGCGAGAATCTTGCAATACCTCATGGGACTTGTAGTTCCACCACAGCTGGAGGGCCGGAGTTTGGCTACCCATGGGTTAAAGGATCAAAAAGCCCGGCTTCTCCATTCAGATGTTAATCAATTTAAAGAGAGAAACACAATCCTCAAATTTCAGTCCCAAGTCTTTCTGTAAGACTTTCATTACTGCTGCATTAATCTGTGCATTTTATATCTGCCTAGTTTTCAGCTTTAATAACGTTAGGTAGCACAATATTGTATCGTATATTGCATAGAGACAATGAAAACTACTTACAGAGGGCGCTGCTGGGAATTGCTGTTGAGCTTGGGAGCCCCATACCATTGAATTCACCTGGGCAGCCACCATCTGAGAGGCCATCTTTCTAAGTAGGCTACAGTAAAAAGAAAACAAATGGTCACATTAAACATATACACCAGGTGAAACTCATATAATTAGAATATCGTGCAAAAGTTCATTTATTTCACTAATGCAACTTAAAAGGTGAAACTAATATATGAGATAGACTCATTACATGCAAAGCAAGATAGTTCCAGCCGTGATTTGCCATAATTGTGATGATTATGGCTTACAGCTCATGAATGCAAAGGTCATGGGCTGATGGGATGCAAAGGTCAAAGATTTACTACTATGCCTTGGGCATGTCCTCCTCCTCATCCCATGGCAGTGCCAGACTGCTTGCACAATAGGTTTTAATGCAGGGTACAATGCTGCCAGCCTAAAAGCTTTCAGGCACTAGGGTTAAAGGCATAATTGTGACACAGCGTAGGGCTTTTGAAAAGATCATCACCCTGGCTAAACTGTATGGCAGGTATGTGTGAATTACAACAGGAGCTGAAAAGAACAAATATTTCAATAGGTAAAAAACCATGTGTGCACTGAAGCATGCGCATTCATTTTCAGTGGGCTGGCAATGCACCTTATGGACAATAGCGTGCTGTGTCAATGCACCCATGTTAGTGCAAAGCATAGTCTGTCTGAATGGGCACTTAGAGAAACACATATGCAATTATACTAGAGGTGCACCGAAATAGAAATTTTAAAACCGAAATCAAAATAGAAAAAATTGTCAGGCCGAAACCGAAATTTTTTTTATTTTAAATTTTAAAAAAACTTGAGAATATTATATGTTTACTATAACCAGGAGGGGATATAGATCACTTCCCATTCACAATTGAGGATATAGTACACATACCATGTCCTCAATTATCTACAAACACTCAGCGATCACTGATCGCTGAGTGTTTGTATCTTGCTCTCCTCTCTGACACGCTGTCACAGGAGGATGAGTGAGCGGAGCAGGGAGGAGAGTCCAGCCTCCTGTGACAGCGCTGTTTCCGCCCCCACACCTCTCTGCCGCGATAGGCGGCCAAGCGGTGTGGGAGCAGAGACACCGGCCACTCACAGTGCTCTCCTCTCGCAGCACTCGGCCGGCGTTCACTTTCTTTTCTCCACGCTGGGACACAGAGCAGCGCCCAGCGGGGAGGAAAGAAACCTGGGATGCGCCGATCGGCAGGAAAATGGCACTTTCGGCATTTAGCCAAAAGTGCCATTTTCGGCCGATATGTTTCGGTGGCCTATATATCGGTGCATCCCTAAATATTACACTTAAAAACAAAAAGTATATAGTTTAATATTTCCAACACATTTTCGTAAGAATGCACCAATACTGTTATTTTGGTATCAAGCACCACTACTTTGCTTTCGGTACTCGCTGATAGAGTACCGATACTGATGCTTGCACTGGCATGGAGCCGGCTTCGCGGGCAATCTGATTGCCCGAGGAGCCGGCTCCTTGTTGTCTGGCCGGAAAACTGGCTTCCCAGCTAATCAGCATTGAGCCGGCTTCCCAGCCAATCAGGGAGCCGGATGGCGAGTAATGACCTGCCTCCCAGGACCTGATTGGCCCAGAAGCCGGTTTCCCGGCCAATCAGGAAGCGGGTCATTACTTACTGCCAAGCTTCCTGATCTCACTGGAAGCTGGCTCCATGTTCCCCTTCCTCTGACCAGAAGTTCCAGTATTGGGAAAGGCATCAGTAGATTTGGCCCAAATACTCAGTATCGGTGCATTCCCACATTTTACAAGGGAAACAGATATTTAATGCCTACAGATAAAGGCGATATGCTTGAATAAAAACACGAGGAACATTTGCCTTTTCCATTATTTATGCAACAAAACCGTCAATAGATATATTGGTGTACTCTGGAAAAGTACAACGTTGGCCTCAGAAGCTGGTATTGCCCTCTTTAGCAGAAATGACTTATTACAGGCATTTTGTATGACTGCCCTCCAGTCTGATACTGACTCGTAAAATTTTGTGACCACTCCTCCATCCAAAAATTCCTTTAGCTGCAAGATGTTTGTTGGGTTCTTTACATGAACTGCTAGTTTCAAACACCCCATAACATTTCAATGGGATTTAAAATCAGGGCTTTGACTAGGTCAGGCCATTTATTCTTTTTTCAACCATTCCATGTTGCACTGGCTAGTGTGCTTTAGATCAATATTTTGTTGAAAGATCCATTTTCGCTTTAACGTTAACTTTTGGACAGATGTTCTCACATTCTCTAAGGGCCGGTTCACACCACAAACAGCAGCTCTGGAAGTCACTACCCCGCTCCGGCCGGCTCCCTGCCTTCAGGGGAGGGAGGGGGCGTGGCACATGAGTGCCTGCGTTCCGGTACAGTGCGATCTGCAGAAATGCTGCAAGCATTGTTTGAAATTATGCAGAATTCATAGCCGACTTGATGAGTGCAAGCTGCCTAGGCTCTGAAACAGCAAAGCAACTCCAAACAATAACAATATATAATTTCCACCACCATGCTTCACAGTTGGTATGAAGTTCTTGTCCTGAAATGCTGCCTTTGGTTTGTGCCAGTCATATCTATTGTTACTATGGCCAAACAACTCGTCTTTGATCGGTAGACAGCACATTGTTGCAGAAGGCCTGGTCTTTCTTAAAGGCAAACTGTACTCTTGTGCTAATTTTTTTGTGCAGCAAAGGCTTTCCCCTCCTGGCACACACACAGGTTAACGTGGTACAATCTCTTTCTGAATGTAGATAATGCATTTAGACACAAACTTCTTATTTTAGCATAAGTCAGCTTATGGGCTAAACTTGGATGAGTTGGCCAGTCGTGGACAAAGTAGCAGATAGTGAAATCTATGCTACTTAGATTATTTTCCTTACAGTAGAATGATTGATTTTAAACAATTTTGCAATCTTTTTGCATCCCTTACCAGACTCGTAGGCAACCACAACTTTCTCTCTGAGGGCCTTATGATCTTGGCAACACACACACAGCAAAGAGACAGACCAGATCCTAGATATCTGAGGCAAGACAGGTCCCTGAATACTCCTTAGGAGGTTGTAATCATTTAATCCTAATCTGGGACACCCAATTGTAATTTCATGGATTGGAAGTGTTGGTAAAATGTAGGGTTGTGCTTACAAATCTGCATTTCCCTTAATTTAGATTATGAGAATACACCATGGGATCTTTTTGTGTCTAAGTATATTACCTTTACTTGCAGACACTGTTTGAGTAAAGATCTAAACTTTGCCTCTGCACATATTTTGAAAACGTCAACAATTTCCATGGGGTGTTCTTACTTTTTTACTTATTTTAAATTCCACTACACCTGATAAAAGGAAGATGAGGGCCACAAAATTGGCAGATATTGCAAAACCAGAAAGTCTGCGTGGAAAATAAATCACTCAGTGCCATCGCCACCATCATTTAAGTATGTGACACCAAGACGATTTCCAGGTGGATACTCAAAGCCATGTAGCTTGTATTTGGCATAAATAGCAGATGATATATTTTGGTATTGAACCATTGCATTGGCTGCCAAAAGGAAAACAAAAGTTTAGTAATTATAACAATTCTGAAGAGTTAGATTCTTGGATCTAGCATAATAGATACAGTATATTCACATACAAAGTAATTGTGGGACCGTCGAGGCTTATCTGAACCACAACTGGACCTCGGCCTGCCTGCTAGCACAATCCTGCATGTATGAACAGCAGTGAAAGGAAAGAACAGAATAGTCCTGATATCTATCCAATGGGAATGACTAGGCGTAAGTTATTGCTTGTGATCCCAAAGGAATATTACTCGGGTGTCTCAGAAAATCCTAGTTTAAAGGAGAATTATGGGGTGAGAAAAATACTCATCCCCCTAATTCAAGCTGACCCGTGACACTATACTGCATATAGTATACAGTATAGTGCATGCAGCACCAATGTTGTTTTAGGCCCATGTTACTGCCTGCCTCTCTACCGAAAGTGCAACGTGTATACAGATGAGGTGGGGCTCTCAGGCTGCATTCTGCCCCAGCAGGGAAGCAATGCTACTCAATGGGCACATAGTGGCAGGCCATTGACTGGTTTGCAGGTTAAAATTGTGCAATGTATGAAAAAGCTGAGTCCTAAAGCTCAACACTGGGATAAGGAAATATAGTCTCACTTGAGCCATGTGAATGCTCACTTGAATCTTGGTGTACTTTGTTTTTCTTCCTGATCTGTGAAGTAATACAATGTGAAACCTCGCCTTTCTGCAGGAGTTTGCTATAATAAAGAACAGTCATTGCTGCCCTGTCCTTGTGCAGGGTGACTGGTCTTGTATATGCCCCCTTCCGCATCCAGTTTTCTGCAAGCAGCCTGCGATATGTGGACGTGCTGCGTCCCTTCCACAGCTCTGCTCTCTGCACAGGATATGTACAGCACAGTGCTACTTTTACAAGGTAATGCCCGATTTTGCAAAGGCATTTGGTGTACACAAAGTAGATGTGTAACCTTTGTAGCTATCTAGTAATATATTTAAATGAAAGTTATTGGGCCTGGATTTCACATTTATGATGCAGACTTTAATTATGGAGTGCATCCGCTGGGAGCAGACATGCAGTGACACATTTTTCAATCCTGTACACACTGCTCCATGATGTTGAATTTACAGAGCTTGACACATCTGAAGCAGCACCTCAGTCATGTGACATTTTATGCATGGGTCAATGCCCAGCCCTGTGCAGACACTGTGCTCAAACTTTGAGGCCCTACCCCATAGCAAAAGGGACAAGGTTCCAAGATGCAGCCGTGATGTGACAAACAAATGGCAAATGCTAAATATCATATTCACCCCTTGTAACAACTAGGATTCCCATTTTGTAAATCCCCCACTTTCAATTGTTTTAAAGTTTAAGGTATGAAACTAAGAAAACAAAAATACAAATCTTACAGTAAGCACTGTAATGATCCCGCTGAACCTCACAATACTCCAGCCCTGGAACGAGGTCAAACAAGCTGTATAGGTTCTCCTGAAGAATTGGCACCCGGGACACAACAGTGAGACGCTTAGACACAGTTTCCTGGCTCCTAGAATCTCCACATTTATCAAAAGCTGCATAATCGTACTGATCTTTTAAAAAGGAAAAATAAAGAAGTTAAAATCGCATAGAATGTAGAACATATATTACATTTGTTAAATAAAATTCAGATTTCTCTCAACTTTGTACTTGCAAATATTACATTCTGCTCAATAAGCTTCTATGTATGAAAAAGCAAAAATAAAGCTTTCCTACTGCTCACAGAAGATAAATAACAGTTCTTTCTCCGCCACAGGTTTAAAAATGGCCAACCAACATAAATACTTACCTTCAGCCACAACTCAGCGATATTCATTGTGTGACCCTGCCATGAATGTAGTTCCCTATAGGAAAAAAATAGGGCTGCATTTGCAATAAAATTAGGACCTAGAATATTTTTGGGACGAAAGGCTGTACGATTCTGAATGGGACCTCACAGTGAATATTGCTGGATAAGGGATCAGGGAAATATTTATTCTGGTGAGCTGGTGTGCCAAAGGTGCAGTTATTCTTTAAGAAATGCCACTGTCCAATATACACTACTTCTAGGTGCAAATAACCTCTGTAGATATAATGTCTATTTTATTAGTGGATATATTACATTACCATACAAAGTGCACAGAACCAATCATTCACAATGTGTCTTGGTTCCAAGGAAACATATCTAATCCCCCAATACCAGGGGTGGGCAAACTGCGGCCCTCCAGCTGTTGAGCTACAAATCTCATGAGGCTTTGCAAGATTCTCACAGCCACGACTCCCAGAGAGATGCATGATGGGATTTGTGGTTTCGCCACAGCTGGAGGGCCGGCGGTTGCCCACACCTGCCCTATACAGTAGAGAAACCACCAAAAATATAGATAGTCTTTCTGATCTTCCTAGATCCAAAGAATGTCAAACGTATACTTGAGGCACTGAGAAATTATACTACGCAAGTATACATTGCAGGTAAGAATGTGTATTAAAGTCAAACTTTAGTTTTAATACTATTTAAGTAGTGCCCAAAACAAAAATAAAAAGCAGCTCTCAACCCTTTGCTGGCATTGTCCCACGCACTCTCTTCACTCCATGTTCCGCCACTGGTCCTCTTCTGGGTTCTAGAGTCATGAAATGCACTTCATAATACAGTAGTATGTAGGGTATCATTGGGGGCACATCCTCTGAGAAGGCATCACCACGATGCACTGCACTAACAGTACAATGATGAAGAGAACAGTGTTGATGTTATTACATCAGTAACGCTCTCTGCATTATTGGAGGACCACCCAGCATAGGAGAAGAGGACCCTGCATGTCATGTGACTGGCCCTCAGACATTTAAAAAATATCCATTATTCAGAAAAGAAAAAACAATCCGTGCAGAAATGTAGCCAAACTAACCATAAGGATATAAGGGAGTCGCTGTGTCAAGCAGTGGTTCTGGGTGACGAGAAGAAGAAGAAGAAGAAATGTGGTAATCTGGCGCATCTGATGATGTTCCACCTTTGTTTTTGGGTTCTGCCAGAATTGCCTTAAAATCTGCAAAGCAATAAAATACAAATTTTAGTTTTCGGGCAGCGAGGTGTATTTCCAAATAACACTGATGACACGGCATATTTATACAGAAAACTGCAAGCTGGCCATTTTCACGAATTATATAGCAAAATGGGAATAGATAATGACATGAAATATTTCACAATTTAATTTACTTGCAAATAAAAAAAAAAAAAAAAAAAAGATTGCATATAAACGAAATAAAAGAATATCTACTGAGAAACATTTGTAACTTACTTCGGTCACAGTTTTCGATTGCCATGGCTGCCTGAGAAGGTTTAAGGAACCGCACATATCCCAGTCCTTTACTTTCACCTGTGGTTTTATTTTTGATAATTGAACAATACTCTATATGGCCATATTCCTGGTAAAAGATTAATGAAATAACATGGATCAAACTGCTGTCTTTATCAAGTTAAACATAAATATTTCTATATAAATCTGTCAAATGTCTTTTTCTGGTCACCGAGTATGTATAAAGCATTGGTCTTCCACACACTAGCAATACATAGAGCTGTGCCATCACCCCAGGCCCCCCGCAGGTCCATACTGACCTCCTGAGACAGCTGCAGCCCTGTACAGTTTAATTCATATGTTCTCACCCTTAAGTACCACGTCCATGGGAGCACCAACCTGTAAATAGGCTCCATTATAGCTGCCGGAAGTCTGTTTACATTTCTTTTGCAGCTTGTTGGCTTCCTGCAAAAAGTGATTCAGGCAGCTGTAAAACCGCTCAATGACTCCTATAGGGCTCTGCGGCCAGGGAAGAAGCTGGTTGTTTGTGATCTGGGCTTGTGCAGCTTCAGTGGCATATAAAAGGTCACATTAGGGGTCTAAAAGACCCCTGATGTCTCCTCAAAGGGTAATTCCACTATCCACACACAGTACCACATCCCTGTGCTTGGCATTTTAGATTCCACTTGCAAAATGGCAAGCACTCAATTGGTCAGAGCAGTCTTTACAGCACTGGTGGGGTCATTCCATTTTCCCAAATTTGCCTGGGAAAGTAGAATTATCCTTTAAAGAGAACATGTGACATAAAAAAAAGTTTAATTTTTTTTAGTTTATTGACATAATCATAAAATGTTTTATAAAGCTGCCCACAAATGTAAACGTGCACATCAGGTGCATCCATGTACGAAAACAACATACATATTAGGTACTGTTGTACATGCTGGAGAGCAATAATTCTATGGCCGATTAGTTCTAAATTGATGAGCGGTAAAGAATTTTGAGTACCGTGGTTTTTCGCCGTTTCATGGGTCACGCAATTTTAAGGCCTGACATGTTTTGTATCTATTTTCAGCTGCGGTTACATACATGCTGAATCTGCTTATAATTTCCACGACTTGGGTTTAAAATAAAACCCATTTGAAGTGAACAAGAGCCCATCGACACAGGCCCTTAACATAATCAGACGAATGTACATCATCTAACACCCAGACATTATGAACAGCAGAGAATAGAATACTGAAACCATATGATATTCTGGAACAGGGGTAGGTACCCTCGGCACTCTAGCTGTGGTGAAAGTCTCAAGAGCTGTTGCGAGACTGATATCCACAGGCATGACCCAGAGGCTGCTGAAGTGCAATGGTTACCTACCAGTTATAGATGCATTCAATTCTCTTTTTATTCCAACAATCACATATTTACCTTGAATGTGTCCTTGACATCCTCCTCTGTGTAGGTCTTAGGAATCATCACAAATATCCTTGTTAAATCTTCATCTTCCAGATCCCTGTGATTTGAAGCCCCTCTGGATTGCGCAATAAGCACCTAGAAAATAGGTCATTGTTAAAGAATGTCACTCCAAGGCTTAGTGCAAAGCTGAAACGTTTTAATGGAACAATAAAAGGCGGTGTCTGTTCGTCCATAGAAAGTACACCAGAGCCGGCACACAGGTTATTCCCTCAGACAATAGTGGGATGACAGCAAAGTTTGGCTGTGGTTACACACAATGCTGAATCAGCTAATCATTTCCATTACTTCGGTTTAAAATATTCAATGTATAGGAAAGGAAAACACCTTCACCAACCAACTTCAGTCAATGAGAACAATGCTGTTCCTATCACATCAATAGAATTTTTCTGCCTGATTCAGCAGCTTCTTTTTAAAAAACAGTGCCGACGTAAATGATGGAAAATGCAGTTATTTTAGTTACCCAAATAATGAACCTACTATCATGACAAAGACTGTATTGGGTCACAAAATAATCTACAGGTGAAACTCGAATAATTAGAATATCGTGCAAAAGTAATTGCAGTATGTGCTGCAAAAGGGGCCCAAACCAAGTACTGAGTACATATGCATGCTTGTACTTTTCAGAGGTCCGATATTGTTCTATGTACAATCCTTGTTTTATTGATTGCATGTAATAATCTACTTTTTTGAGGTTGTGGATTTGGGGTTCTTGGGGTTTTCATGAGCTGTAAGCCATAATCATCACAATTATGACAAATCACGGCTTGAATTATCTTGCTTTGCATGTAATGAGTCTATCTCATATATTAGTTTCACCTTTTAAGTTGCATTAGTGAAATAAATGAACTTTGCACGATATTCTAATTATTAGCGTTTCACCTGTATACTCAGGATTTATTACAGGTGTTTATATAGCACTGACAATTTACACATCAGTCCCGGCACTCATGGAGGTTACAATCTAAGGTCCCCATTTCACATGCATACATGAATGAAGGAGCACAACAAAAGGTGAATATCACAGGGGGCTGGGTGTCTTGTCAAGAGAATCTGTCACTCTACTCTGAATAGACAAAATGGCAGATGTTGGACTGAACTGTTCAGAGACTGAAGGCTTAAAGCAGAACTCCATGCAAATCTATTCTTAAACCTTGCAGTCATGCTACTCCCACACTCCAAGGGTTAAGTGCTTGTTTTGTCTAGGGAGCTAAAATAATAGAGATATACTTAAAGGAGAACTATGAGGCAAGTGATTTTCACTCATCCTCATAGTTCGAGCCAACGTGTGACAATGAAACTGTCACAGGTCAGCTCAATAGACTGGCAAGTGAGCGAACACATAGCGTCGCTTGCTCACTTCTCGGAAACTTTACAACACACACAGGGACCATGGGGAACAAAAGTATCCACCCTCCAGAAGGAAGGACAGTGTCAGCACCAATTCAGAGATGATTTGAGGATCTACAGCCTTGTGATACACAAATAAGATACATTTTTGTTAATAGCTAAGGTACTTATTTGTATTTTGAAGATTTAAAGGAGAACTATGAGGTGAGTGAAAATCACACATCCTCATAGTTCGAGCCACCGTGTGACAATGAAACTGTCACAGGTCGGCTCAATAGATCGAGAAGTGAGCGAACGCATACCGTCGATCGCTCACTTCCCTGCAGAGAGCGGTGACTGTCAATCGTGGCTCCCTGCAGGGATCCCCCTCCAATTCTCCAGCGCTGACTGGGGAACGGACGGGGAGGGGGCGGGTACAGCTGGCTCTGCCTCTTGATAGGCAGAGCCAGCTGTCATTCACGCAGTTAGGTGGATCTCGACAGTAATGTTGGAATCAGTCTCAGTATACCGCGAGCTGTAGCTCGCTATATACTGAGCTTTGTGTCATGGGAGGACGCTAGTATATGTCCTCCCATGACCCTTAAGAGAACTATGGGGAAAAACATTTAACCCATAGTTCTCGTTTAACTCCCAAGTTTAGTGTCACTTTAAGTGCGTTGTCATTCATTTTGAATAGCACACCAAGGCACCTCCTAATGAGAATGCATTACAGCACAGCATCCAATAGCGCAACACTTTGCATGCTTTACCTCCTAACAGTATCACAATGTACTGTGTTAGAATGCATGCTTGCTAAGAAGTGGTATTCTGAATGAACGGCATCATAACACACCAGCGCACGCAGCATGCTCTAGCATATGTGAAACACAGGGGTACCATGCCTTTAGCGCAATGCTATGGTGTAAACTGCCGTTTATGTAATCCTACAAAATAAAAAGGGATACAAAATAATAACAGGGAATGTTGAAATTGAGGTTTAACTTGGACTCCCATTGCATAGGAAGAGTCAGGCGATGCTGGTGTATTATCAGTGTGCTGGACTGCGTTAGAAATCTGGACAGCGCCACTTCTGGTCACGCAGTCTAGGCAGTTGAAGGCGGCGTTGAATGAACGCACGAGCACAGAGGCTCAGTAAGCTATAGTTATCACATCAGCTCCCTCAAAGAACAGATCGGGGTCCAGGATTTTCACAGGCTGTCTGTATTACACATGTGGGGGGAAGCCGGTGGGTCCAGAAAATTCACAGGTGAGGCACCTGGGGCCACATAACACCTAATAAAGAGATAAACATATATATAATCCTGATCATTATTAGGTGTTAAGTGGCCCCAGGCACCTCTCTTGTGAATGTTCTGGACCCACTGGCTTCCCCCCACATGTGTAATACAGACAAATAGCATGTGAAAATCCTGGACCCCGATCTGTTTGAGGGAGCCACGGCGCCGGAAGTGACGCGACGGCCAGATTTCTCACAGGTCCAGGATTCTAACAGAACATCGGGACTTCCAGGACCCCTTGTGGCATCTGGGCGGCCAGGCCAGTGATGACGTCACACTCAAAGCCCCCCTTTACCTTCATAGGCTTATTGCAGTCGCCCATGTGCCGGCCGTGCATCTCCTCCATAGCCCGGCAGGCATGGGAAGACTTGGCGTATTTGACGTAGGCGATGCCTTTAGACTCCTTGGTGTGTTTGTCCCTCACCACCCAGATGTCCTGGATTTCGCCGAACGTAGCGAACTTCTCCCGGATAATGTCCTCCGTCACCGACCGGCTCACCACCAGAAACACCCGGCTGTTAGGAGGGTCGTCCAGATTGCCGACCGAAGGGCGAAAGCCGCTGCTGTCCTCCATGGTGGCGGTAAGTGTGAACGTGTAACAGATGACAATGAAACAAACACCAGCCACACCGATACAGGCGACGATCTGCCAAGACCTGCCCCTTCCGGTGACGTGTGCAGTATAGGGGCCGCTCTGTCCCCAGCTTGTTGGTGAGACTCAGTCTCTGCACAGCCACCTCTGCCTGGTGGAGGAATGTAACTCTGTACATGACTGCCACCTTGATGTGATGAGACTTGCTAACTATTGGGCCTCATTCACATTGGTCTCCTGTGTTTAACAAAGAGGATACATAAAGTCCTTATTCACACAAGGCTCTAAGATCCGGCTGCAGATCTGTGCCGCAAGAATCTGCAGCAAGGATCGCAGGGGGTTTTGGAATCTGCGGCTGTTCAGTCTGTACAAAGCAATGACAGAATGACAGCAGCCGCAGCTGTCCGCCCATGTTCACATGTGATTGGTTCACTATTTTGCACTGTCATATATTATAGCTGCACATACTTTGTGGTGTTTACACTTTGTTTGCCTGAAGAAGGGACCACACGGTTCGGAAACATCGCTATACAATGTGACACGACTAAGGTCAATAAATATCGACTGAGAACTATATTGGACTGCGAGTGACTCTTTATAACCTACTCATGTTCATGCACATGATCACATAGATGATCGCAGGTTATACATCTGTCTCTAAGGCCCCGTTCACACCTCACCGTTTTGTAGCGCGTCCCTTGCCCGACGGACGCTCTACAAAACGGTCAAAAATATAAATTGCATTGTAGTCAATGCCCTCGTTCCCACCTAGGCGTATTTCCGCCCGTCCCTAACGCCCTACAAAACGGCCCACGCCTGAAAAGGTCCCGGGACTACTTTGGGCCGTTTTGTAGGGCGTTTTCCATTGGGATAAGCCAAGTAGCCTTTGGAATCGCGCGACGGTAGCGCGACTTTTTGTACCGTGAATCGCGGTAAAAAAACGTGTGACGGTCGCGCGACAGACGCGCATATTACAATACGCCTAGGTGTGAACCCAGCGTAACTGCACTATGTTGCAATTACATCTGCCCCGACAATCAGTTCCTGTTTTAAATTTTTCTGCACTAACGATTCTATTCCGCTTCTAAATACTTTATGGGTGTATAGATAATAATAATAGGGCTGTGACAACTAATCGATTATAATCGATAATGAAAATTGTTGGCAAGGATTCTCATCATCGATGAGTTGATTTTCGATTAGTTGCTGCCGCTCTGCTCCTCTGTTCTCCTCCCCGCTGGTGCTGGCTGCAGCGGTCTGTGTCCCTATCAATCCCTGCTGCTCTCCCCGCCTGTGTACCAGCGGGGAGGAGAGACTGCGGTGACTGCAATCCCCTGCTCCGTTTCTCCTCTGCCTGCCCTATTCCTCCTCCTCTGCCCTCCCCGTTCCTCCTCCAATGCCCGCCCTGTTCCCTTCTCTGCTCCTCCGTTCCTCCTCTTCCCTAAAAATCCCCCCCAAAAAACTGAAGTCCCCCAACCCTGCAAACGCGCGTATACTAACGGAAAACACAAGTGGAGCGCACCTACATAGAAAAACGATTGCGGGGGGGCGTGTCCTAACCATGGCGGTGTGAGGTGCTCGTTCAGAGAGCTCCGCGGCTTCAGCGTATCATCGGCACACTTACCTCTACCTAACTCCCGCTGACACCCGGGTTTCAGCATGTCTAAACGCCGGAAGGACGGGGGATCTAAAACCCAGGTCTCGGATGCCTCCATGCAGCAGTTTTTCTCCCCGAGAAATGCGGGCCCGGTGGAGCGTGGCAGATCCAAGATAGCGCCGGCCTCATCCACGAGGGCTCAGTCCCACAACACACACCGACGGGGCTCCCCGTCACTGGATCCGCTTCCCCTGAGCTCCCCGGTCTAGATCCCCACGACGACGGCGAAGAGGGGACAGATGACCTGCCCAATGACATGCCGGACGGGTTCCGGGCCTTGCTACGTTACCTCCCCACCAAGCAGGACTTCGAGTCCATGGTGTCCAGGGTTGAGGCGGCCTTGCGAAAGGACCTACGAGAAGTGAAGCGGGAGGTGAGGGGACTGGCCGTGACAGTGGCGGAGGTCTCGGCTTCCTGCTCCACGATGGACTCGAGGATTGCGGCGCTTGAATCGGCGGCCCAAAGGCCAGATCCCCGCCTTACTGACCTGCAACTCCATATGGAGGACATGGAGGATAGGGGGCGACGCAACAACCTGCGCCTCCGTGGCATTCCAGAGGCCACTGGAGCCCCAGACCTGCGCCCGACCGTACAAGCAATCTTTGCATCCCTACTCGACAATGTGGACCCTGGTACCATCATCCTGGATCGGGTACATAGAGCCGCTGGGCCCAGACTGACCAACTCTACCAACCCGCGTGATGTGCTATGTCGGGTCCATTATTTCACCACGAAAGAGGAGATCCTCAGAGCAGCTTGGCGACGTAGACCAGTGGAGTTCGATGGAGTGCGGATTCAAATCCTCCCGGATCTATCTCGCAACACCCTCAGGTGTCGAACAATCCTTCGCCCGGTCCTAGATCTAATACGCAGCACAGGGGCGACATACCGATGGGGTTTCCCGTTTCATCTAATCGTCAAGAAGGGTGAGTCCATTTACGTGCTCCGCTCCCCGAAAGATATCCCGGGCCTGGGCGGCTTCCTGCATGTGGATGTCCCACCTCCTGACGACTGGCTGGCTTAATATGGCCCATGCTCTCCGACACCAACGCTCTAAAACGTTCATCCCAGCCATTAAATCGAGCACAGGGTCCATGCTGCACTTATCTGAAGCGATTGCCGACCGGTTTCGCGACTTCTACTCTGCCCTTTATAACCTCCCACAACCCGGCTCAAGAAACGAGGGCGTCTCAGCGGCTATCCCGCACTGAAGCTTACCGTGACTCCTCGGGCTTGCCCTCCCTCCCTAGTGAAGTGGTTACCGCTTTAGAACTCCCGATTACGGAACTAGAATTGAATACGGCTATAAAACAGACGAACACGGGGAAGGCCCCGGGTCCAGACGGCTTCACTCTGATGTACTATAAGAGATATGCCCCCCTCCTAAACTCCCATCTAGTCAGAGCCCTGAATTCAGTCACGCAAGGAATGGCGCTTCCACTAGACACTCTCTCTGCCAATATAGCGGTCATCCCAAAACCAGGAAAGGACCCACTGCTTTGCTCAAGTTACCGCCCTATTTCGCTCCTGAATGTTGATACCAAATTGTTCTCCAAAATCCTGGCAATGCGCATGCTCCCGTACGTTGGGGATTTGATAGACCCGGACCAGGCGGGATTTGTCCCATGCAGGGAGGCAAGGGACAACACTACTAGGGCCCTGAACCTCATACATTCGGCCATGTCGAAGGCGACTCCTGCCTTTTTGTTGTCCACAGACGCGGAGAAAGCCTTCGACAGGGTCGACTGGACATTTATGAGAGCCACCCTGGAATGTATGGGGCTAGGACCAAACATGATGTCTTGGATCATGTCACTGTATTCCCGGCCCTCGGGCCGGTGTACAGATTAACGGATCTCTCTCAGCATCATTTACTATTTCTAATGGCACTCGACAGGGGTGTCCGTTGTAATGACTTACGGTTACCTTCCAATTTTGGTGTAAATGGGCCCTAAGGCAGCTTTGAGAAGTGAAGCGCAGTGTTTCCCAGGTAATCAGGAAGCCAGGTTCCTGATAATCTGGGCACACAGCACCAGTATCGATATTCAATATCGGCGAGTACCTAAAAAAAAATACCGGTATTGGTACTGGAGTCCGGTCATGCTGACTGGTGACATTTTTGACTGACTGGAGAGACACCATAACATTTTTCAAGCCCTGCCTATCGGTATTGGTGCCGAGTATTTGGGCAAGTACTCATACTCGCCCAAATGCTCCAATGTCTAGCCCGATACTTTCGGAAGCCGGGCAGCAAGTCATGACACGCTGCCCGCCTTCCTGATTGGCCGGGAAGCCGGCTCCATGCTCCCTCGTCACATGTGACGAGAGAGCATGAAGCCGGCTTCCCGGCCAATCAGGAAGGCGGGCAGCGTGTCATGACTTGCTGCCTGGCTTCCTGATCCCGGAAGCTCAAGTATTGGGCCAGGCATCGGAGCATTACTCGCCCAAATACGGCACCAATACTATTATTGGTATCGGTGCATCCCTACTTTTTACTAATGAGTGAGCATGGAGCCGGCTTCCCGGCCAATCAGGATGCCGAGCGTTTCGTCATTACATGGCACACGGCTTCCTGATTGGCCAGAAAGCCGGCTTTTTGGGGACAGCTTCCCTGCTAATCGGAAAGCTATGTGGCGAGTCTTTACACGCCACCCGGCTAATCAGGAAGCCAGGTGGCGAGTCATTACACGCCGCCTGGCTTCCTGAATGGGATGTCCAGTGTCGGTGAGTACCAGAAAAAAAATATTGGTACTCGTACTTGATACCGAAATACTGGTATCAGTGCATCCCTACTCGATACTGAAAAGAAATGGTATTGGTGCATCCCTAGTTTTAATGCAGACAAATGCGGAGGAAAACATTGCATCTTCCTGGCTGCTTTTAGGGTGCCATTAGAAATAAATGGACATGCAAGTGCATTTTCATCAATGTGCGTCAAAGTGCGCATTTTTCTGCACATTTTGTATGTGTTTACAGAATGCACAGGTGTGAATGCGCACTCACTGGGATAATGCGCACACCTATATGTGTGTAAACCTGCGTGTATTCTAGAAAATTCATTCTCTGGGCTAGATGAAATGAATATTCCAACCACTCGAATGTTTATGCGCAGATGTTACGCAATTATGCACCAAAACATCTCTTTTTTTTCCCGCTGGATTTTTCTTCCAGTTTCTGCCGGAAGATTCAGCGTACATGATAGTATCTTTAATGGCCTCTGCGCCCCCTGACCGATATACAGAACCATCGTCCATTCTCCCTCCCTTGATGCTTCACAGCAACATGAGACATCATCTACCCGGCCCGCTACTTTTCTGTTTAAGGGAATAGCTCGGCCTGCCCCGCCTATCATGTTTTCTCTTCCAATCGCCGTGGGAGATGCACCGAGCGCCTAATACCATTGGTCAGAAGCGGCGCTGAGCGTGATGCTGGTCCTTAGCGGGGGTGACGTCAGCGTGTACAGATTGGGTGACAATTGCCGGAGGTTGGTCGGAAGGTCACGTGCGGAGACTGTGATCTGCATAGCGGCTCGGGGTGGACGGTGACCGGTTCAGCGCGGTGAGAGTGGAGGGGAACATAAAGCGGGCTAGAGGGTGCTGGGAGAGATCACATGATCAGTAACGGATAAGTGGGTTCAGGATGCCGGGTTCCCCTGTGTCCTCCTAGCTAGGTGTATGTGGCAGGAGCTGTAGGCCATTGTGCTTGTCACTCATTCATGGGTTCCATGAGCTTGGGTGGTTGGGGGTGACAAGCTTTGGTTATGCAGAGCAATGCATACATAGAGCCAGCAACATGATGTACGTCAGTATGCTCCTCCCCCTCAAGCCTCATTTAGATGACCGTTTATCAAAACTGTAGCAGCTGTGCATGGCAACCAATCAGCTTCTCACATCAGTTTGGTCAGTTAAGATTTAAAAATAAAAGAGAGAAGCTGATTGGTTGCCATGCACAGCTGCTCCAGATTTTGTCTGCTCCAGTTCTGATAAATTCCCCCCAGTATGCATGAATGGCTGCAGCGGCCATATCTGTACCCAGTAGAATGCAATGGGTGGCGTCGCGGTTGTTCGCATGTATGAACTCTGGTTGCCCATAATCGTTTACAGTTCTCTGGCTGCATGCAATGTGGATGCAGCTAATCAGTCAACTTTCCACCGCAGCAGTCTAATCACACTTCTGAATGATGTCTTTGTACTATACATAATTACTATCAGATAATTGGAGACATAGTTTAGCCGACCAAGAAAGCAACTAAGGGGCCTATTGCAGGACACCGCCATGTTTACTTTACACTGTGCCTGCATGTCACAAGCCATTGGTGTGTGTGTATAGCCACATTCTCTTTTTCTTTAGTTTGGGATCGAGTAAAGAAGTGTTACAATCCATGGCAGCTTATTTTTGCTGTCTGTGTACTGTTGTGGAAATATCCTTCCACTTCCTGTGTCAGGGGCACAGCAGGAAGTAAGAGAAATATCCCCAAGTCACAGGAGTTGTCCTCATTGGAAGATTTCTCTCCCTTTCTTTCTCAGTGGCAATGGTCACAAGGACAAATAGAGGGGTGAGTCTCCCCAATGGGGACATAGACAGCTATAAAGATGTATCATAGGGTCTAGCCTGTCTCTCACTCTATCCAAAATTGAAAAAAGGTTTTGTCTAGATCCACTTTCTTAAAATGCACCCTGTGGTGTCCTACAAGTGTCTGCATAATGCTGCAGAGACCCTCTGTGATAGGAGAGTCCTGTCACATGACTTCACGGCACTGGTCCTCCATTCGCTTTTTTTTTCCCATTTGTGAACATTACAAATATGTTTTGCACTTCACTTGCTTCGAGGATTAAAAGAAAGTGAAGCTTCACTCAAGTACTTCGCTCTTAACGGGTGCCGTATAATGACTCACCGCCCGGATTCCTGATTTATCAGGAAGCCAGGAAGTGAGTCATTACCCGCCCCCCCAGCTTCCTGATTGGCCAGAAAGCTGGCTCCATGCTTCCTCATCACCTGGTGACGAAGGAGCATGGAGACGGCTTCCCGGCTACTCAGGAAGCCGGGGCGGCAAGTCATTACACGCCGCCTGGCTTCCTTAATGAGGCTTTCGGTATCGGCGAGTACCGGAAAAAAAATATCGGTATCGGTGCATCCCTAACTCTTATCACTGCAGCTTTTTTTATTTATTCTTCAAGCTAAAGTGTGACTGCTCTGTTGTTTGTTTCTGCAAGTGCAGCAGCGCTCAACATGAAGATTCCCATTATATTCAACAGCACCTGTTCACACCTGAGTGTTGTCGTGCAAAAAAGTACGTGAGCTTTTTTTAACGAGCAGAATCGTGAATTTGACACAGGCATTTTAAGGCTCCTCCTAGCAGCCTCGGGGTGTCCATGCTGGATGTGAAGACTTTCTTCCCCCTAAAAACGGCCCACACTAAACTGATGAGCATAGCAAAAGCGTTTTAAGCGTCGGCTATGGGTGTTTTTTTTGCGATTTTTGCAGGCGCACGCAATTTTAAGGCTTGACATGTTTGGTGTCTATTTACCCGACGTGACCCCAAATTTTATGTTTTACCAAAAATATGTGTAAAAATAAATGTTTTATAACAGAACCTAGGGAAACTGTTTTTTTTTTTTTTTTTTACATTTACCGAGCTTTTTTCATTATATAGTAAAAAAAATAACCCCCCTTCCCCCCGTGGTGATTATATACCTCCAAAAGAAAGCTCTATCTGTCCCCAAAAAATGTTAACATAAATTGCAAGGCTATAGTCCGGTCACTAGTGACATTTTTGACTGACTGGTGAGACACCCTAACATTTTTCAAGCCCTGCCTATTGGTATTGGTGCAGAGTATTTGGGCAAGTACTCATACTCGCCCTAATGCTCCAATGTCTAGCACTATACTTCCGCTATCTTCGGTAGCCGGGCAGCAAGTGATGACAGCCTGTTCCCCATAGTATGGGAAGTGTATGTCTACTAAGTGGGCGCACAGATGTTGCACATGTCACTAACGGCTGCTCCTCCTTACTGCTTGGAGTTACAAGATGCTGGCATGTTAGTTTGGCTGCCACGCTGCTTTCCCAGCCCTGCTGACTGCGGGAGATACAGGCACGCTGTGCATAGGCATGGTGCCCTGTAACGCCAAGTGACCATGCCAGCATGAATCTGCTTCTCTGCTTGGCGTGTTCAGGTTGAATTAGGGTAACTGGCAGGCTGATCAGGTATTTTTTTAATACCTCTATGGTACCCTAAAAATGAACTTTAGGGTACCACAGAGTGACTGCAATACACGGGGGGCTTTTAGGGTTTTTGCTTTAACACAGGTATGCTTTCAATGTAGATGCCGGCTAGGCTCTAGCTGTAGAGTTGCCGGGTATATTATAACAGCCAAGAACAAGGGGTGAGCAGAGCCTTGGCCTTCAGAGTAATAAAGTGTCCAGGAGTTGTACGTCACTGAAAACACTCCTAGGAGAAGCAGGTACATTTTAAAAAGCTGCTCATGATAGAGGGATGCAGAGCTGCAGCTTTAACAAGATGTTAGTACGATTTTAGCATACTCAGAGAGAGGCCATGGTTCTATTTTAAGCTGGACTGAGTGACACAAACAAGCTTTATTGTATTTTCAGCACATGTAACGTAACCGCTTGTTTACTTACCCCTTTTCTTTTTGCATGTTGTTTCTGTAGGTGTGAGGCAGAAATCAAAATGGGTGATGTGGAAAAGGGAAAGAAGGTTTTCGTTCAGAAATGCGCCCAGTGCCACAGTGTTGAAAAGAACGGGAAGCATAAAACTGGGCCAAATTTATGGGGTCTGTTTGGTCGCAAAACAGGCCAGGCTCAAGGATTTTCCTACACTGATGCAAACAAAAGCAAAGGTATTAAACATAGTATAATGCAGGTAGTAATGTAAACCGACAGTCAGCATCCTTCTGCTCTTCAGTGGAATGTCAGAGCAAGTGATCCTGTATGATGTGTGAAGAATCCAAAGGCCTCAAAAGGTGTCTGCTGTTACTTTTACAGGGCTGCAAGATCCTCCCACAAGAACCTTAGCGTTAGTGTATGCTCCAATCATTGACATTGATAACAGCACCACCACCACTTCATATAATGCAGGGCCTGAGCAATCTATGACCATGCCAGAGAACTCTCATACAAGGGTATGCGTATCTTTCTGTACATAGTGGCTTTTAAAAAGTCTGTATTTGCATATTATCTCCAGAGGGCCCCAGCTGCAATTTGGGGCCATGAAGTAGCACAGAGAATGTAAGAGTAGACTCCTGTAAAGCAGGCAAATTAGTGTAGTTGCTGTTTACACCATACAGGCTCACTGTAATACAAATTTTAGAACAGGGGTAAGCAGCCTCAGCACTCCAGCTGTGCTAAAACTAGAGATCCCATCATGCTTCTGCCCCTAGGAGTCATGCCTATGGCTTGTCAGTCTTGCAATTCCTTATGGGACTTGTAGTTCCACAACAGCTAGAGTGCCAAGGTTGCCTACCCCTGTTTTAGCACAACTGCAGTTGTTTGTCAGATGGGATTATTATTATATGTAGAATGGTTCTTATAACACTATATCAGTAATTGGATAACAGGGTGGATGTTTCAGGTTACATTCTTTTTTAAGTTTTGGATAGGGGTTTCATCCTTTTCCTACGCTATCAGGGCATTTTTATTCTCTGCTAGGAAGATTTCCCTCACTTGCTGTGTTGGAGACTTAACGAGAAGTGCGAAGAAATCTCACTGCAGTGATGGAAATTTCTAACTTATCACCAGAACATTTGAAAGACCTTTTCCTTGCCCCTTGCTAATTAGAATTTAGGATTGCCCCTTACTTTCTGTCTGAGTGGCAATGGTCATAGCAACCATGGTCTGTAAGGTGCTGATAGCGTCCATGTCCCTACAACTCACTGCCTCCTGCTGTGTACTGTAAAGTAAGCTATTCATTTTAGAATAGATACTTATACATTTGGTAAATGCAAGGGGCCAGACAACTGGCCAAGTGTAGAAAAAAACCGCTCTCAAAGGCAGCAGATTGAATTAGCCCTTTGAGGTAAAATGAACAAGTAACTAAAGCTGGCTATACACTGCAATATTTTCTTCATTTACCTGTGGGCTGAACTAAGAAAATATAATGGATTCCTCCATCAATGCTTCTGAGCCCTGTTCAAGGAATCTTCATTGTATTCTCACAGCGTCTGGCGGCCGCTTTCAGAATACCCGTACGGAGCCGCCAGTTGGTTGGCTGCCCGCTTTGTTTATTAGAAGATTTTCTGACCAGCTCCCTCGATTTGCTGATCGGGGAATGTCAGCCGAAAGGGTGTCGACAACGGCACTCACAGTGCGAATTCACATAGTGTATGGCCAGCTTTACTTGTAGCAATATCAGGAGGGTAATTGGGAATCTCTTCTGTGCTTGCATTGAAGTATTCCTGCTACTAAATCGGAAGTAAACGCAGCATAAAAATCTGAGACGGCAAAATCCCACAACACAACTTTCAGAAATTCTACCTTGCTTGTGAATTCCACGTGATAACCATTACTGCAGGCCATGCAGCCCCCTGCCAATTTAGAAACCTTCCAGTGCTTCATTTCCTGGTTTATAGGAGCTGCCCACCACAACATCACGCAGAAGTGCCGTGCCTGCCCATTGAAAAAATTCAAGCCTTTCTTCAGCGTCAGTGTTGCCGTGGTTCGGCTCGCAAGAGGTCGTGACCTCAGCCTGGCACTGATTGGCTGCAGTCACTGTTTGGCTGGGAGTTTTCCACTCGGCTCCTTTGATATTTTCATCAAAGGATGTCAGGCGGGAGGCTGCCGACATGCCCACCCACAGAGCAAATTTTGGCTGGTTCATCAAGAACCAGATTTGCTCTGTGTATGGCCAGCTGAAACATGGCTTAGAATAGTATAATAATGAATAAAAAAGATGATTTGGGATGTGAAAGTTTCCTTTTTGGCTTACAGATTCTTAGCTATGGAATTAATTCCCACCTAGGTTTAAATCTTCAGATGCGTGCCCATGTACATTGATTTTAAGTGACAATAGACAACAAATAATGCTCAAGGAATTCTTTTCTTTTTTTCACAGGTATCGTGTGGGGAGAAGATACTCTGCTAGAATACCTGGAAAACCCCAAAAAGTATATACCGGGAACCAAGATGATATTTGCTGGTATTAAGAAGAAGAACGAGCGCTTAGATCTAATAGCCTATCTAAAAAAAGCGACATCGGAATGATTAGTTGTATAAAAAAAAGTGTTAAACGCCATGTTTGCAACTGACAGCCTCATTTGTGTCATTGTGTGTAAATGTTGTCATGCTCATCCTTCAAACTACTGGAAACTCAACAGTGCTGAATGTTAACTGGAGGGGCGATGCATTACTCTGTGATCCATGAAGGCTTCTGAAATGTGATTGGATGAATACATAAAGGGAATCTATTGTGAAAGTGTTGGTTCATCTAAAACTATTTGTTGGTTAGATGCTGGTGAGTAAAATCTCTCACTGGCTTCTAAAGTCTCTTCGGAGCTCTCACAGCAATACCTCTACTGTGGTGTTCACAGTTCTTCACCCACTTCCTGTATCCGTTAATTCATGGTCTCACATTGCCTTTTGGATTTTTAGTTAAGTTTACATTCTGGATATCTGTAAAAAAATAAGTCAAGGCAACTGAACTTGCTGTATTTTTCTTGAAGACGTTTCACTGGACATCCAACCAGCTTTCTCAATTCAGAATGACTTGTACAAAAAATGATCTGGGAATAAATATGGTGAATGTTGCTCCAATCCACATAATCTGTTAGTCACAACTAGGTGTTGATGCATTTGCATTATTGGAGTCTAGGAGGTGTTATTAACCTGCCCAGGGAGAGGTGTTAAAACAGCATTGTATTGCAATGGACACCTGGATGCAACTAACAGATTATGAGGATTGGTGCAACATTCACCATATTTATTCCCAGATAATTTTTTGTATAAGTTATTCTGAATTGAGAAAGCTGGTTGGATGACCAGTAAAATGTCTTCAGGAAAAATACAGAAAGTCCAGTTGCCTTGACTTATTTTTTACAGATATACCATGACCTGGAGGAATGAGAACCTTCACAGACATACATTCTGGATAGGTTGGCATAAGGAGTTAGAATCTAGGATGGGAAGCAAAGCTTGGTTCAAAGCTTCTCCACTGCAATCTCAAAGACAATAAAGAAGCCAGTGAATGATTTGTTCCACAGACATCTGCCCAAGACAATGTTTTCAGTGAACAAACACTTTTACATAACGGTACATTCATATTTATGATACTGTCTAATTTATGTCACACATAAATGGTGATAGTAAACTAATATTACAGTAACAGAGTGTTTGGTCATCTATTTTTGCTCAGTCTGACTTATTTCTGGCCCTCACATGTGGCCATACAATTTCCACCTCGGAACTGAAACAGGACCACCATAAAGACCACTAGGACTGCAACCAGCTAATCGATTAATCAATAATAAGAATAGTTGTCAACTATTCTCATTATCGATTAGTTGGTGGGATCCCCTAGCTCTCTCCTCCACGCTGGGTAGAAACCAGTGGGCAGGTGCAGTAGCCAGTCTGCTATTGCCTGTTGCAATTTGAAATGGCCAATAGTAGGCTGACTATTGCACCAGCTCACTACCTCCTGTATTTATTCAGCTGCCATCTGCGGAATCTTGCCACTGGCAGCTGTCATTCCTGGGCTGAAGCTATTCAAGTGCCATGTGCTTACAATACAATTATAAAAAAAACAATTATAAAAAGGTGGGGAAAAGTCATTTTTGGTTTCGGTCTGACAAATTCTACTGCGGGAGGTATGTTGCAGTGCTATTAATTTCAATGGCACCCCAAACGTATCCACCACCCACAATGTGATCGCCTGCACTGGAACGTATGGTACTGCAATGCTGTGCGTTCCAGTGCAGTGCAATTGCAAAAAATTGCATGAACACTGCATTTGTGTATTTTATTTCAAATTAAAAATTGCATTTTTTTAAATCTGAATAATCAAAAAACATCACATGCTTCAGGAAGAAAGCCTGACATCCCACAGGTGAAGAGCTTAGAGAGATCTGGCAGCGTGGCTGATTACATAGTGTGTACCTTACACCGATCAACCATAACATTATGACCACTGAGATGTGATGTGAATAACATTGCCTGGAAGTGTGTGGGATATATTAGGAAGCAAATTAACATTTTGTCCCTGAAGTTGATATGTTGAAAACAGAAAAAATAGGCAAGTGTAAGGATTTGAGCAACTGTGACAAGCCAAATTGTGATGGCTAGATGACTAATTCAGAGCAACTCCAAAACTGCAGCTCTTATGGTATGTTCCTGATCTGCAGAGGTCAGGAGCTACCAAATGTGGTCCAAGGAAGGAAAACTTGTGAACCAGCAACAGGGTCATGGGCAGCCGAGTGGGGAGTGGGAGCTGGCCCATGTAGTCATCAGATATAATAGAACCTGCGCTTGGAGGAGGAGAGATGTTGTCACATCCCCACTCCCTCCTCCAATCACAGAACATTGAAAAAAATACAAGAAATTTTTTGAATGGGTAATTGTGAGGAGGAGGTAGGTGATGCAACCCCCAAAGCACTCCAGGTTGGGGATTGTGTGCAGGAGACGACATGCTGCAAGGTAAGCTTTTTATACTTTGCGGTGACCCCCTGCACATAACACCCAGCTGTTTATTGCTAATTTACACACCAAGTGCAGTGTGTAAATGATAATGTTTCCTGGAGTGTGACTTTAACATGCTGACATGTGCAAAGAGCAGAGAGATGACCTGATTAGTCTGTTGATGCAACATCACTGTCCAGCAATGGTTTGGTGGCAGGGAGGTGACCTATCTGTTACGGAAAAGGCTGGATGTGGTAGGACTGGATCAACAGAAATACAAATATTTGGGCAGGTAAAACAGCTCCTTTATCCCCTTCAGGACCCATGACGGGATAATCCCGTCATGGGTCCTGAAGGGGATAAAGCTATTGAAGGGGATATAAGCTATTGATGTTGATCTGCACTTCAGTAGCTTATTTCGAGTGTAAAGGTGATACTGGGGGTCTTTTGGACCCCCAGTATCACCTTAAAGAGTACCTGTCACCACCAATATGCTATCACATGGGGGGCCTGTAAGCCCAGCTGTGTGATAACAAAGTAAAGTTTAAAAAAAAGAGTTTTAAAAATAATATTAAATAAATTAAATGTAAAAATAATAACAAAAAATGTTTAAAGTCCCCGCAAGCACGCACGTAGTCACGTAAACATGTGTCAGGTGAGCCTACTGTAAGAGTCCAGTGCTAACTGCACATGCGCCAACGGCACGTTGTCTCACGAGCCAGAACAAATCCGTGCCAACTGCGCATGCGCCAAGGGCGCGTCATTGGGCCAACCCGCGCATCCGCAGAAGGTATGATTCAGCAAGGCGGGAAAGCGCCCAGGTAGTGCACAGGAAGTGACCTAAACTTCAATCATCACTTCCCCTATATAAGCCCAGCCTGGACACTGCCAAATTGCTGGATTATCTTCCGTCTCTCCTTGTTTCTGTGCTGGTGTGTTATCTGTTTGGACTTCTTGTGACCCGGAACCATAGTGACTACTCTTGCTTGCTGCCTGCCCTTGACCTCGGATTCGTATACTGACCATTCTTCTGCTTAGCCCTTTTGTACTTCGTTGCCCGATTGGACTTGGCCCTGGCTCGGATCTCAGATTTAGGCTTGCACGGTGCTCCGCACCACTGGCACTCGTGCCACTCTGTGTCCGCCAGGTCTCTGTATCCATCCCCGGAGGCCTCAAGACCCGAGGTGCAAGGGAGGCCTCCTCACCACTACAGTCTCACCTCAGGTACGTGACACCTACGTACAAAAATGATTGCGCTACACACGCCAGAGAGAGCAAAAATTCAGGGCCTATATTTACACGTACCTCTAAACTGATGACCTGTAGGGGGTTTTAAAGAGTTGTGTATGGACTTTTTGGGGTACTGAATTCTGTCACAGTTTCACGGACGCACACAATTTTTAACCTCGGCATGTTGGGTATCTTGTAACCTCATATTTTATATTTTTACAAAAGAAAATGGTTTTATTTCGTGATTTGGGGTGCTAAATTTAACTTAAGTGCATTTTTCACAAAATTTGGGGGTTTGATTATAAATTGCGCTAATGTCGTGCAACATAAAAATTTGCAACTGTCACTATTTTATTCTACAGGGTCTTGGCTTTCAGAAAAAATATGATGTTTGGGGGTTTTAAGTAATTTTCAGGCCTAAAATGTGGATTATAACATGTAAACAAAAAAAGGCCTTTTTCCTTGAGGGGTTAAACAATATGTATTCCATCTGTGTACTGTATTTAGCTTTTATCCTGCAGTTCAGCTTAAGGTAAGAAAATGAAATACAGGAATATAGCATTGGTACTGTTTTGCCAATCAGGAATACAAGTATTTTTCAGATTATATTAACAAAATAAACACAGTTCCCATTTAAAAATTTTGTTGGAAAGGCTGCGAATACAAATTTCAGTCACACTGTTTTGGTCATCTCAATCTGCTCTGCCTAACCATTCTGGGAATGTGCAGATGGCTTGTGCTAGCAAGATAGTTGGTAAATGTGTTCGTGGCTTCCCTGGATGGTGTCACGACTCAAAGGCACGTCATTCTTTGCTATTCACAGATTTACAGGACAATATGTTCTAGCGTGGATGGCAGGTGGACACGTTCCATGGCACAATGCAAATTTTATAAACACATGGCACATGGGAAATACACAAAATATTGCCTCTATAACTAAGTTCCCGATCCTTACCAGCAAAATGTAAAAGGATGTAGCAGGTGCTACATACACATGAGAGCAAAATATCAAAAGAAATATACTCTGTTCTTAATTAAAGAGAACCAGTCATAGTTGGGTTTTTGTAGGAATCTGAAATTTCAGTCTTAAAGTGAGCAAGTGGCTACACACATAAAAATGCAATACAAACAGCCTTTAAAAGAAGATTAATATGGTAATTCCAACCTTTACACTCTCTCAGATTTGCGGCAGGCGCTAGCATCTGCTTCTTCCAGCATACTGTGTCCTTTGTGCACTTCACAAGAATTGCCAGTTAGAGCAGGCTGATTGACTCACTCACTTTTGCCCATGAAATGGGCAAAGGGGTCTTTTGGAGCCTTTCCCAGGCCACTCACCTGTTCTAATAGGGAACTGAACCACTGTCATTTTAGGATAAATTAGGTATTTGCATGATGCAATGAACATTAATCCCATATGCAGGGAATCTACAGGTTTCGTTACTTTGTTAGAGCACTGATGTGAATTTGAAGTGGTCCCAATGTTTTTTTTTCATATTCTACAGCAGTAACAATGATACAAAAAATGAAAAGCTGATGGGTTGTGAATATTCAGCCTTGCAAGACTTACAGCTGGATTTGGTGAATTGCCAGCATAGTGGAGATTTTGTTGAAGTGGCCAATGTGTGAATGCAGCGCACCATAG